TCCATTTGTTCAACAAAATTGTTAATCAAATTTTCAACAAATTTTCCAAATCAATTTTTTAAGTAAATTTTTTCGAATGGATAAAATAATTCTTTTTTATGTGATATACTTGAATAAAGTCACTCAATTTTTTATGTAACAAACTAATTTTATGTTTATTTTACTTTAATTCTTTAACAATTAAAAATTGTTTTATATTTTTTAGTTATCTAACTAGAAACCCATAATTTTATCATGTAAACTCATGTTTTGTTTATCTTAATTATCACAAAGTTTTCAATATTTAAGTTTCTATAGTTTTATTATTTGATTTTAACTAAATAAAATAAATAAAAATATGCCCCTTAACCTTTTCAATAATAAAAAAGATGCCCTAAGCCAAAGTTTCAAAATTTATCACTAACGCACGGTTCTGCTTATCAACAGATTATCCACTATCCACAATGTCATGATGGATCGTCAACGAGAAGGGCCACCGCGTAAAGCTAGCATGCGCGAACTAGCCATCGCACCTCGAGCTAATGGTGGCCGAGGAGCTGAGCAGCCAGCCAATGGATTCGATATCAAGGAAGATAAGAGACATGAGCTTCAATTGTGTTAGACTTACTTGGCCACTTGAGCTAATGATCAATGACACTTTAGCCTTCAGTGTTACCTTTAAACAACCATTTGATAGATAGATACGGATTGGATCATGAAGGGATTTACACTCATATATAATCCATACATTGTCAATATTCCTCTTATCAACTCATAATTACTCATGCGATTCAATACAAAATTCGACCTGCGGATCTATGGATGTTAGGTTTAAAGAAAATTGCCACAATCTTTATGAACGTGAACAACGTTGTTGGTATGAGCTTGGTACACGTACGTATACAATAAATTCCTTAGAAATTTTTGTTTTTCATAATGCCCATGTGGAGCTTGAATGCCTAGGAAATTAATGCACGTTAATTATCTATAGCTATCTGTTTATTCTAGATCTTAACTGATTTTATTCCCTTGTGCTATAAATAATTAAGAGAAATAAACATGTATATTATGTTTGGTAGGTATAATTGATTATTTAACATGACCTAAAACAAAATATGTAACTACCATCTAAATTACCTAAAATTCATTTTTCACCCTTTTGTAATTATCAAACTTTTTATATTAAAAAAAACTTAAAACCCTAATCTCGAACAATATTTTCTTTTAACAACAATATTTTCTCCCATTTTCTTCTTCTCACGCCACCTCCATATTTTTTTTTTCTTCTTCTTCTTCTCTCTTCTCTCCTCCGCCTCTTTTCTCCACCGTTGCTGCTGCATCCTCCTTCCCCGCCGCCACCTCCTCTTTTTGCCGCCGCAACTGCCTCCTGCCCCTGCTGTCAGCTCCTCCATCT